TATCTACAAAGTTCAACATTTAAGAATCCCTTTCAAACCCTGTTGTGACAAATGCATCTAAACTCCATTATTGAGTGCTAAAGATTTGATCTCACCAAAATGTGACAGTGTCAATGTATAGAATAGGAGAGAATAACCCAAAGTACTTTTGAGATATTGAAGAGCTTGTTCGGACTAAAAGCCTTGGATTGTAGATCCAGTATATGAAATCCTGGTTTGGCTAATAAAAACAAGTGGTGCGCTGATGTGATACCAGTGTCCTGCATTGCTTGCTGGTGCCTCGGTATTACCTACACATGAACAATGGTGTTGCTTGTGCTTTCATATGCGTCAGGTCTGGCAGTGATGAAATAGCATCTTAAGTACACCAGCCAGCTACCTTGGCTGACATATCAATCTGTCAGAATTGCTGGAGGTAATCATTGAAAGGATTACCTGAATGTAAGAAGTTTAACGCCATGATTGCTTGCTGTAGACCTGCTGATGTTTGAGAATGCTGGTAGATAGCACTGCATTTGGATTGATATAAGGATTTTGTTGTGTCAGGTGAAAATTCTATTATTGGGTATTTATTTGCAAGTGGTCATTCAGTTGCAGTTGATCATTACAAAGAACATTTAGATATTTTCCAGCTCGCCTCCACCATTATTGGTCCACCCTGTTCCCAACCCTCTATCAGGCTGACTGATGGCTTTCCATTCCTCTGCCAAATTATCTCACCTTTGCTCTGGACCTCCCCGGGATTTTGGCAGAGATTAAAAGGACTCAAAGTGCATTCTGCAACCCATTTTACCAGTGCAGAATACCCAACATTAGTGTACAAAGAAAACTGATCACAGCTGGGTTGGGTTGTAGCTGCTGTGATAGAATGTTTTTGGCACAACATTTATTAGAATATTTCTGCTTTGGGATTACAATAATGAATGGAGGTTTATTTTATCACGGAGGTTCAACACATTTAGCAGTGTAGAAAAATACCACCATCCTGGGAGAGAGACATCATTTCAGATCAGCACTAATTGAACACTTGGTCTTGGAGAACCATCTCAAATAGGGCCACTGGGGTAAGAGGGTACCTCTGTCTATAGCCTGAGCTAAGCAATATGTACAGAGAAGGTCGGTTCTTGGAACACACCGTAGGTTAAAAATTTAAAATGTCAGCCTTTAATTGTAATAATAATAACAGTGGTTATCCAGTGGTTCATTCACATTCCTGATGTGAATCTATTTTCACCACTAGAGAGGATGAGCAACTTGTTTTTGTATTCCAGCTCATGTTTTGTCTCCTTATGAGAGTGAAGCCAACCCCTCATTCCACTTGGGTTTAGCATTACCTTGGAAGCTTCTTGGTTACAGGTCTCCATTCAAACAGGTTCTGCAGCTTCTACAATGCCACTGTCTCCCATTGCACAATTCTCTTCTTACATTCATACTAAAGAAGTGTTCTATTGAATTTTTAAAAGTTTCCAATTTTTAGTGGAGTCCTATAGGTCTCTATTAGAAAATCATGTCACCATTGTTTACAAGAGGTACCTTATCCTTCACTTTTTGTGTAGCATTCTTGCATTTGGAAAGAGAAAACGAGAACAATGAGTGCAGGTTGCATTTTAAATTATTTTATTCCCTGCAAATGTGTTTTTGTGTCTTGATTAACTCTGCTGCTGCCATTCAAATGTGGACAAGATGTCCCCAGAGAAACAGTAATGTATGCATTTGAAGTGGGTTTGTTACTGAACCATTTAATTTTGTTGTAAACAATAGAATTGAATAGCAACGCAGTATTAAAGGAATGCTGCCTTTTTATTCCTGAAATCTAGCTCTATGTCTAATCAGAAATGAAGGCGCTTCATGTTTTAACTAGCTAGCTCAGTGTTTTGCAAAACTGTCCTTTGACTTTGTGATCTTCAGTTTGAATCCTAGCTACACAGAGAGATTTGGGAGCTCCTTTCTCTGATGGGAACGTGTTAGAACACAACCTTTCAACTCTGAGTACTAAAGGGATAAAGGTTGCCTCTCTATGATAAACACTGTTTTAAACTATACATCGGAACTCACTTTCTCTTCTGGGAACTGGATCCCACTCTTTGCTAAATGGATTCAGTGGTAGCTTCCTCTTCTATGGAGTGTATATTATGTGTGTTTTTTATGTGTGCGCATATATATATAAATAAACACACATGCTTATATGTATAGACAGATTGAAGGAGCACTTCAGAACCAGCAAACAAACCATAGACTTTGGTAAATATTGTTTCTAGAGATGGTTTTGTGGTTGAGTCCCACGGTGACCTCTATTTACTTAAGAAACTCACAATAAAATGGGATTCGATTAAAATTTCTAGAAATGGAATCTTACTGGTATAATTGTTGCTAGTTATTGTTATTTGACTGACAATTTTCCTATGTTAACCATAGTGAGTACTGAAATACTGTGACTACAAATTTAATTTATACAGATTTTTATATATGAAAACTATCTTTATGCCCTGCTTTTTCTGATGTCGCTTACATACCTTGGGTTCACAGACAATTACTTAATGCATGTGGACAATGACAACATAGTGGAAACCTTTGAAGATCTTGCTTGAGTAGATTTCAGACTAACCTTATTGACCTGATAGAGAACTGCTCCCTGTCCAGTGACATGGAAATCAACCTTAAATAAGACAAGAGTTTATCATTAATTTTGGATGCGGGTGATTGCTTTCCCTAATAGATAAGAGGATACACACAGAGAGACATCCTGTTATGAATCTTTTAGAAGTAATAATACCTAAGGAATTGAAGTGGGAGCTCCAGGTTTTTTTACACTTGTATAACAAAGTAAATGACAGCTTTTAACCATCTGATTGCTCTTGAGAATTGGTCTCTCAAAAGTAAACCTTTGTGTTTATATCAGAACAGTAGTGGAATATGCTTGTCAGTTGTGGTAAAACATTCATAGTATTGAGGGTAAAGCTAAAGTTGAATCCATCTAACAGCAAGTAGTGAATATTATGCATGATTGTAATGCAGTGTTCGATAGCGTTGGAATCACGTAATTCCAGTGGTGCAGTATGGTACACGATGTTTGATGAAATTGAAAGCTGTTTACATTCTTTCTACCATTTGGTTCCTTCTAAAAGCAAAGAAATGCATAATAATAAGATAATTTCAAATTAAAAAAAAAGAATTTCGTCACTCAATCCACGACTGTTTGTGAGACACTGCTGTGCGCAAATGGCTGACGCATTTCACCCACAAAATATACAGTCAATTCACTTTACAGTATATTCTGTGAAGTGCTTTGAGATGTCTCAAAGACATCATAAGGCGCTATATCAAATGCAAAGATTATTATTATTATGATTTTAATGTAATAAAATCTCACAATAATCCATTGTCTGTAATAAAGTCAGAAATCAATTATGTACCTTTCCCAATATCTTTACATAAAAAGGAATCTAATCATCAAGACTTTATGAACCAAAGAGTCAATTAACATTAATTACTTAGTTGCTTTATTTATTTTGGGAGAAGGGTATTTTTATTTCAACAGCCGGTGCTAATGACATCAATGAGTACTATTTTGAACAAACTACTGAGGTTGACAGTGTTAAGGAGACAAATAAACATTGGGTGAGATTGTCATTAACCTAAGGGCACTTCAGGAACTATATATTCATTTAGCGCCTTCACCCTGTCAGATCAGCATCTTTTTTAAGCAATTATCCCTGATGTCATTAGGATGCACTCTTTAAGTATAAATATTCAGAGAGCAGACTCAAGAGGACAAAGCAAACCAACAGCACATCAATGTCGATCATAAGTCTCTGTAATAGTTTGATTCTTAAAAGGGCGCCCCATGGTGAGACTGTTGAAGGTGCTTCAGGGTAACAATAATGGAATTATAGCCCGTGGTATGGAATTGAAGTGGCAAGAATGATGTTCTTGGTGAACAGCAGCCAATGGACATTTTTTTAAAAAAAATCTAAATTTGGTCGTCATCACTCAATGCATGAAATATTCATTCAAGGACCATGGTTGACTAGTGAAAGTAATAGTATTCAAAGCCAAGACAGGCCCGTGCATTCCAAATGTAATCTCTGTCTGGGGATTTTCAAAGTGGCAGTTAGTTATATCTAGAAAGAGGTGTGAGGCAATTTATGTGACAGTGAGATGAATTTTAGACTAACCTACAGGGCCTACACAGTTATAATTTCCAACGACACAATGAATACATATATGCAGAATTCTCAATTTATTCCTGCAAGAAGGAAAAAGATCTTCTCCTTTGCAAGCTATTAGAAATGAATCGCCTATCAAAACAATACATTATTTTAGTATTTCCTCAATATTCAAAAATTCTTTTCAGAATTCTACATTACTCTAGAACAGAAGAAAAGAAACAAAGAACAGTGAAAAATATTGGATAAGCAACAGACAGCAATGGGATAAATACCATAAACAATAGTTTGACAGATGAATTTGAATGACAGATAGAGTTAATACATAACTATGTCAGTTTAGACAGTTAATTGTTGGTGTTTAGTGGTTAGAGCACTCGATTCGTAAGCGAGAGCCCTGGATTCTATTCCCCAAGGCAAAATGTTGGACAAGTTCCTTACTCCATACATATGCCTCTAATTACCTAGCATTAAGTAGGAACCTGATTGTTAGTCAATTGGCAGATCGCTTTCCAGGGATAATAATCCCTCAAAAAATAATAATTTCATTACTCAATTCATGACTGCTTGTGGAACACTGCTGTGCGTTTCGTCCACAAATATACCGTTAATTTACTTTACAGTATATTCTGTGAAGCGCTTTGAGACGTCCAGAAGACGTGAAAAGCACAACATCAAATGCAAGGATTATTATTATTATCAACATTTTTAAAACGTACTAATTCCATCATGTTTCATATGTGAACCTTTTTAGATATCAATCAACGAGCCATGCATAATATCATTTATTTGGTTACACTTTTACTTTTTCTTTCTCTTTTCCTTGCCTTGTAGTTGGCACTGTGGGATCCAGTGAAAGGACTGAATGGGAGTCTGCAGGAAAGACGTCTGGAAAGTGACATGCAAGGAGTCACTCTGAAAGTAGTCACTGTTCTGGTAAGAGAGATCTATATGTTTAAAGAGAGAGAGAACATTTCATTGATTGGATTTTATCAAAGGCCACCTTTTATAACACATGGTTTGTGGGAAATGCTATCTCTGCACTAACTGGCTTCTTAAGTTTTCTGCTCACACACTTGATGCTGAAATTCATTAATAATGCAGTAGCAAAGTTACTCAAACACTAGAATAGCTTTGTTACTGTGATATTAAGCCTAAATGAATAAATACTAAAAACTGAATTTAAAATGAAACATGTGGTGTGCTTTAAATTTTCACACCTCTATTATCTCTTTTGCCTGTTCACTCTTTGTTTAACTTATTTTTTTCAAAATCTATTCTACCTATATAATAAATAAATAGTTGATCTTTTATTAATGTTTAAAAACTTGCTTACCTGTCTCCTTCGAATCAGCTACAAGTTTTTTCAAGAATAATTTTGTTGCCAAATATTTTATACATGTGGAATCCTATCGATCATTCAGTGATTTTATTGTGCTTGGTTCAGCATTAATCTTGGATTGCATTTAGCACTGGGTTTGAATAAAAATGTCTAGTTTTGAATATTTCTGAGCTCATAGTCTAGGATGACCTCCAATACATTGTTGAGCTTGCTCTTAGAGTCACGTGAAAGTCTCTAGAGGAGTTAACATTGCACTCAAAGGATTCAAACTGTGAGAAATTAAGTAGCATATTCTGTAAGAACAGTGTCTTTCCCTGCAGGGTCTAAGGTTACAATCCCAAACAGAGGTATGTAGTTCTTGCCTCTCTTGTTTGAAATGGCATAAAGTGTTATGGAGTGGTATAGATTTAACTGTGTCACCTCTGTGATAAAATGTTCTTTACCTCAGTGGGGAATACTTTGCTCCATCATTCTTGGAAGTGATTTGTTTCATGGCTGTTTGTGGGACATTGCTGTGCACAATTGTCCTGTCGCATTTGCCTACAAATACACAGTCAAACCATTTCACAGTAATCTCTGTAAAGTGGATGCTTTGGGACATCCTTCAGACGTGATAAGGTGCTATACCAAGTGCAAGGATTATTATTATTGGATGAATTACTGAGCTTTGACGGTGTGAGGCAGATGTATTAATGTAATGTATTAGTTGAAGCTGATATACTCTAAGTTAATAACTTTCTACCTATCTTCCCTCACTGTTTGGTGACCAGTTCCCTGATAATGTCAACATCAATCATTTTTCATATAACATAAATAGATGGACAGGGTAGTAATTCTTTCAAATTATTTGTAAAGAGTGATAATAATGCAACCCCACCCCTCATTGAGAGGAGTACTGGTGAATTACTTCTTTAAAGAGGTATAAGTATTGAGGTAATAAAAGGAGACCTAGGTTAGTGTAGGTTTCACTGTTTGAACTTGTGTACAGGTTGTTGTGTTAGATGTTTTTCTCTGCTTCATATTTCATGTTGGTACCTGCAGGAGGAACCGTTCGTGATGGTGGCTGAAAATATCCTGGGTCAGCCGAAACGTTACAAGGGCTTTTCAATTGACGTTCTTGATGCCCTATCGAAGAACCTTGGTTTCAAGTATGAGATTTATCAAGCCACAGACCATAAATATGGGAACCAAATTCCCAATGGCTCCTGGAATGGAATGATTGGTGAATTGATTAATAAAGTAAGCAAACTGGATTAAAACACATCTATAGATTTGATCTGCCTCACTCTCATTCCTCCCAGCATACCCCTCCCCTACTTTCAAAACTCATCTAAAAAAAATACATTATTTCTTTGACTGCAGCCACCTCTCCCAGCTCAAGCTCCCACGCTGTCTTTGTACAACACTTTAAGACATTCTCCTTACATGAACGGCAATATACAAGTGCATATTGTTGTTGGAACATCAGTCTTAATGTTGCTGATTTTCTCACAAGGATAAACCAATCCCCACTATTTATGTAAAATGAAATATAAAAGTAAAATCTAGCACCTGCTTCACTCCATTAGGTCCAGGGCCCAGTACCATCTATTTGGCATTGCTAGTTCATTCACCTGTTGTTCCTCTCTCATATCTTAAAGGACTGCTGACGTTATATTGTTTGCATAATTTGTCAATACAAATTCCAATGACTAGTATTGACAAAATTATTCTCACTTAAAGGGAAAATATATTTCTTTCACAATACTTTTCAAATTTGTGTTGTCTTGTTCCATAATTAATTCAAAACAAATGTATATCCAGCCACAATTTTTAAGCTCCCCCCTTTACTGAAATGGATGTATTTGGCTGCATATTTTTCAGGGGTACTCATTAAATCATTAAAAGGAGGGGTGAAAAACTGCCTAGCTGGCCTACTCAGGGGTTTCTTTTCTATCTGTTGATAAACACCAAATAGTTCATGTAATCAACTCTTCTTACTGGCAAACTAATAGACTTTCCTCCTTTTTCTAAAATTCTTACTTGGGTCGACTCACCATTTCACAAAAATATTCGAACAAATCTGCCAATTTCAAGCCTGATGCAGTGAATTCTTTATAAGAAGGTGTTATTTTCCAGTTGGGTCTCAGTGTTCAAAGTGCAACTTTACTGGATCAAAAGTTTTTGGGGGTGAGGGAGGGGGCTACTTTCAGGTTTTCATTCTTTCATGAACAACGCAAATGATGTCAAGAGATATCAAACCTTTCACATTTATTCCAATCAACCGCTATATGACTAACAATGGCAGAGGCCAGAATCTGATACTGAATTTAAGTTTTTCTTTGGTTTGTTTACAGCCATGTTGCACTTCAGTGCAAAACTACTCAAACACAGAACTCCCTGATTTTCTTATTCATTCAGCTGTCAGTAGCGAGTGTAGTATCAACATCTGCAGCACAAAGCTCCTAATGACCTCACCACGGGAAGCTCTGTAGGTGGAAAGCTTCTACTTTTACAACAAAAACTTGCTTTGACTGTAAAGTGATACATTTGATTTAATACTCACGCTAAGAACTAGGGGATTGAGTTTATCACCTCATTAGCACCAAGTGCTAAGTGATCAGTACTGAGCACCACAGGGATAAACCTTCTGCCGGGGATTCATGTAGATTTTGGCTGGATTAATAGTAATTAGTACAAGCTACCAATTTTCCACATTAATGCTACAGCTGCATTACAACACTGCTGCGGGCAACACTGTTGTAAGATAAACAAAGCGGTGTAAACTTCTCAGCAAGGCCTTGTACCCAAAACATGACTATGCTGCTGAGAAAGTCAGATATTAATATACTGGTTTAGATCAACTGAACACAATCCTATAAAGCCTCAATTGCAGGTTTTGAGTGTAAAGGAATTGTCCGGTGTTGTATATTCTATAGTGGGGTTGGTGGAAATTTGACTACAAGGTTTGATAAAGGTTAACACTTGGCAGGTAGAAAGATGTGGAGTGACAGAGGCTCTATTTAGAAGTCATGCAAATGACAAGAGTAACCATGCCCAGTATTTAAATGCTTTATATTCATGTTTGAGATCAACTAATTAGCAACAGGGCACAATACCTATTACAGAGGGTGACTGGGGAGATGGTTGTCAATAGTGAATACCCAGGAATTTGTTCGTAAAATGTATTAGGTTTTGGAATCACATTTTTCTCTCTCCATCTGTTTTATTCTGTTTGGTATTTTGATTGAGCCAGGTGTCAGTTGGCAGCACTTTTGCCTCTGAGTAAGAAATTTAGGATCCTCGTCGGGACTTTCAACTCACATAGTGTAGACTGATATACCAATATAGTGCTGTGGGAGCTCTACGTTGTTGGAGGTGTCATGCTTCAGATGAGATCCCATCTGGCTGTTCAGGTGGACATTAAACTTCCCATTGCACTATTTGAATAGAAAAGGAAATTTCTCCTGGAATCCTGGTCAACAATCCCCCCCAAAAATTGATCATTCATTTCATGACCATGCACAAACTGGCTGTATTCACCTACTAAATACATAGACACAACAGTAAATCCTATGAAGTGCTTTGTGGTGGCCTCTGGTCATGAAATATGTTATATCAAATCGAAGGATTATTCATGCTTTCTGTTGAATAATGGCATTCTCAAACTCTAGATAATGTCTATTTGTTGCATTTCATGTTACCAACCAGCTATAATCTTTCAATCAAAAATTGAATAATGAGTGTTAACGGAAGTTGAAGATGAAATTATTGCCAATGCGATATAGGACAAACATCATCCTTGAAACACATCTTCAGGACTTGAAAGCTAGTGGCTAACATACTACTTTCCACATTGAGTTTAACAGAATGATGGCTTTAAGTACAGGATTCTTCCACTGGGGACTTGTAAGAGCTTTTTCTGAGTTGATGACTTAGGACCTGAAGGCCAAGAATGGTAGATTGCACAATATATTGGCTTATGTAACAGGACCTATTGTATTACAAATTTATTTTAACAGGAAAGTTCCCTGCTTGCTCTAATTTATATTGAGAATGATTATCTGACCAGGGGCTTCAGATAGTTTATACAGTATAAAGAAATATGATTGTTTTATTTTGTTTTTGGTCAATTCTTACTATATTACTATCAGATTATAAAACAACTGTCAACTTGAGTTTAAAGTTGTTTTTGTAGATTACCATTTTTCAATTCCATGCTGCTTTATCAAATACATTCAGAAGCTGGTTACCTGAAAATTTTAAGTGCAATGTGTATAAAATGAGTAATGTGCTGAAAACTGCTTGTTTTGTGCTTTCCAGCGAGCAGATCTTGCAATATCAGCTATAACTATCACTCCAGAACGAGAAAGTGTTGTAGATTTCAGCAAGCGGTACATGGACTATTCCGTTGGAATCCTCCTAAGAAAACCAGAAGAAAAGATTAACATCTTCTCCGTCTTTGCCCCCTTTGACCTGGCAGTCTGGGCTTGTATAGCAGCAGCGATCCCTGTGGTGGGAGTCCTGATCTTTGTGCTCAACCGGGTGCAGTTGATCCGAGCACAATCCCCCACGAAACCTCAGACTCCTACTTCTAACTCCAACACTCTGCACAGTGCCATCTGGCTTGTCTACGGTGCCTTTGTTCAGCAAGGTGCGTGAGAACCACACTGGTATTTTGGTAACAGGGTTAATGTGAATTGCTATTGAACGTAACCTACCCAGTGCAGATCAATGATGTACAATGGGAAATCTGGTAACCTTGGGAAGGTAAAGTGAATGGCAGACATGAACTAGGAGGAGATACAGGGAAACCATTATAGCACAGACATCGGTTGGCTGGAACCAATGTCTGAGCAACTGTGTTGTAAGCGAGTCAGGAAAAACTGGCCGACTTCCAGGTTATCGAGGCGCAGCTAATTTCACTTGCAGCACATTGCAAATAATGCACAGGAAGTTACATTAATGGAGACTTGATGACCTGGAAATCAACTTTTTTTTTTAACACGGGTAGGTATTTTTGGTTAGTGCGGTTCCGCAGGTGAGCTATACTGACAGATGCTGTAATGGGGTTTCCATTATGTATAATAGTATATGTGGAAACACAGACGACGTTGGGGTTAATCATTCCAAAAACACTAGGAGAGTACTCCAATAGCTTCAAAGACCACGATAGTGAATAATATTTATTGATTATGCTAACAGATAAGTCTCTGTTTTATTGTGGAAAGTTAATATTCAAGCTAAGACAATATTGAAACATTTCAGGTAAGATGTATATTTTAAAAAAACTTTTGTTCTCTTTATGTATGTTGATATTTATGGCAAATGTCTTAAACAAAGGGGTTGGTAGAAAATCAATGGATTGATTGCAATGAAGATCTATCAGGCGTAGTCCATAATATACCAGTTTGTTCCTGGTGGTTAGGAAGATATTCAAAAGAAAACAATTTATGCAGAATATAAGAAAATGATTATTTGAGTTTGATTTCAGGCTAGATGAGTGATTTTAAATCTGTTGGGTGTGACAACAGTCTTGTAAGTTGCCCAGAAAATGGTAAATCACTACCATTTAAAAACAACACAGTAAAGTGTTTTTACTACCTGTATACCTGTGATTTAGTAAGAGTGATTCAAGTCAGGGGAAGATAATTTATGTGTTTGATGTGAGTCTGTAATTACTTGGTTGCTTAATCTGAATACTTTATTGTTCATACTGAATATCTGTGTGATTATTTTTACATATCAGCAAATTTTCCACTTGACTGTTGTCCATTGAAAACTGAGTGCCAGATATCTATTGCTGTGTAAATAACCCCTGCTTACATTACAAGGCCAATTTAACAGCAGCCAGGGTGGAATAGGCCATCATCAAGCAGACTGGCTAAAGTTCTCCAGATCCCCTCTGATAATGAAGTAGTTTCACTGACCACTTGCCTACTTGACCACAACTGGGGAGGTTTTTACAAAAAACAAAAACGTGATGAAACACCTGATCTGCACCAGCAGCACATGTGCAGAAGCATTATTAACAGCACACTGTTTGAATCACTGGTACAGATGAGTGATAATTTAACTGGCTGAACAGGTGGAGCTTTAGCTAGTCAGCTATAAAGCATTTTGTCGGTGGCCCAGGTGTCAGTCCTGCTTTATACACAGCAACGCAGAGGTGCTATTGAAGAGAAGGTTGGAAATCACCAGTTTTGGTGATGCTCACAGCCCCTGACTTCCAATGTTCCAGGGATCTTGTTTACTGTGGTAAATGATAATGTAAGTAGGATACAAAAGCATCAATTCAGCGTATTATTATAAATGTGTCCATTAGATGCACACACGCTTATTTGTTAGTTTGCTGGCTACAGCCAGGTACAGAAATAAGACTCAGTCTGATTCAGACGAGATGTAGTAGTAATACTGTGGATGTAAATATACAAACACTTGATCTGATAAATAGAAATGCTGTATTTACAGCACAGTTACATTCATTCAGCTTTTATATAAAACACATATGCAATATATAGAAGAAATCTTACAGGTGTGAGGAATATTACTACGAATCGCTATGATAACTAAAAACTGAAATATCTGGTTAAACAAGTAATTTGTTGATGCCAGCTGTATTTATAAATTCCTTTATTTACTGATAAAACATAATAACCATGTGAGGGTGGGGGGAAAGAGCAGGTGACATAGATTGTTAGCCTCCAGAGAGTACTGCAGGTTATCCTGGGGCTTGGCTTCACATCCACAGTACACTGTATGATGCACTAACATTCCCCTCAAGAGGCTACATACAGGTCCAAAGCATCATCGTACAGTGGCATATTAAAGTTTGCAGGTTTCAAACAAGAGAAATAAATTCCTGTGAACACTGTGTTCTGCAACATTGTATTATTTTATATATATTCTCACCACACAATGCATGTGATAGAACACCATTGCACAGCTTTCCTGTAAATATGGAACTAAAGACTGTAATTCTCTTGTGACCTCTGGAATTATGCTGAGCCCTGAAATAATAATCCTTACATTTATACAGTGGCTTACAATTTGAAACATTTCAAAGTGCTTAGCAGATTTTCCCACAAATTGTAGTGACTGTAATTGCAGGTGAGCAGTATAATTCCTGTTACAGAATGTGGAAGTATTAAATCTTTTTAAAGCTAATTTTAGGTTGCTCCTCGCCTCTTCCTCCCAGGGCAGGTTACTGATGTGAAGCATAGTTGCTCTTTTGTTCTTTGCAATTATATTTTGCAGTGCAAAAAGCTAATTTAAATGCCCTTAGGAATATGTATCACTTTAGATGCTAAGGTTTTAATTCAATAGTCTATCATCCAATTCGATATCTTATATCTAGAAATTAATGGGATTATTCTGCAATTTTCTTGGTTTGGGTATGAAAATAATTTATTTTATTTTCTAGTATTTAAGACAGAAGATCTGTATTTGACAATATCATAAAAATGTGAATTTACAGTGTACACATTAGTAAGATTTTTACAGTACAAATGAAACTGTAAAGTACTTAACTCATTCATTAACTTTTGATGCACGAGAATGGTGTGGCATTAAGTGGGATAAAATTGTGAGCTGTAGAAGAAAATTAAAATTTATTGAAAAGAACATGTCATGTATTCACAGGTCGAGCTGAAAATGTTTCTTTATTGCTCGCTGCAGGGTAGTAAAGTTTAAGTGGTTTCAAAAGAGAAAAGAACCTGCAGTACATGTGTGGTACCATGTGATATTACTATATGGCACTGTGTCAGCCAATCAGCTTTTAGTCAGATAGTGAAAGTGAACAGGTTGGCACGACTTTGGTCAAGTTGTAATAATACGTCCAGTAAAACCTTTTGCATGAGTGAGGGAAAACAAAAGGAGATAGCTGCTTTGCAATGTTTCTTCTCAAGCTACATATTGAGCAGTCATTCCATCTACTTTAGCTCTAACGGCCAGGTGGTTGGCTTTGGTTGTATAAGGGTGCCATATAAATGCAAGTTGTTGCTGCTGTTATTGTTGGAAGACATGTTTTTGTTCAGAGAGCCACACTGATCGAAAGCAAAAATGTTTTGGTTTGTTACCAGTGCACAATGGCTCAGAAAGGCTGGCAGCTCAACAGAACTGACATTACCCTACACTAAAAGCCAGAGTTTCACATTTTTTTAAGAAAAGGTAAATATTAACTGGAGTGATCAAGAAATCTTCAGCATATTGGATCTGATTGAGTAACTTGACTATGGTTTAATGTACACAGTGCAGTAAGCTCATAAGGAGTGTTTCGGAAGAAATTATTACAAACTGATGGATTGGCATAGAAATTGAAAAGGCACATAGCTTCTGATATTATGGAAACTATCAGAAGATTCAACTTATAGTGGTCTACCATGGAAATCGGTGTGTGATCAAAGAAGGGCAAATGGATCCACTTACCCAGAGACACAGTGTTCCTGCTTAATATTTTATCGTACTCACTTGTTTCCTGAAACATCGTCTGTAAGTGGTTCACACCAAAACCTGGCAAGTAAAAATCACAGAGTATTTGCTCACAACAAACTGTCTTTGACAAGATACGAACCATTCATTTACCCAGGCATCAGTGTTCTTTAACTGCTCTATTCTATGGATTTGTTTTGGAGAATATCTTGCATGGTTTTAAAAACATTATTTTTTTTGCTCAAGAATGGAAAGTAATGTTTCTAACCCTGCAGCCTGGGGGACAAGATATCTTTTACACATTGGAAAAACAAATTCCCAAACCCAAACACATAAATGATGTAGCAATAATCTGATCCTGAGCTCAAACTCAGTTGGTGCTAATTTGTTTTTTTTCGCAAATGACAACTTGTATTTATATAGCAAAAAATAAATTAACCCTAATGTGACAGTAATGTGCTATCAGTTCTGAATTCCCCAATAACAAAACTTCTCGTGGACTCCACCTAATTTATCTAATTTATTGAGGAGTGCTGTGACACAATCTGCTTGATCTCCCACTAACTTCACTTGGCAGAATAATCCCACTTCTAGCTTCATTCATCGTTTCTCTGGGTAACATTATTGGCTCGAGTGGAACTGAGGATACAAATCAGGAAGATCCTAAATCTGATTTATCACTGCTTGACCAGGGTAAAGCAATACAATTGGCATTAGTTGAATAGCAAGCAACATCCACTAACGATTTAGGATCAAGAATGACAAGAACACAGCCATTGTTTATGGAACAATGATTTCAGGAGTGGGTGTGGATGAGGAAGGAATAAGAATACTTGCACTTGATATAGCGCCTTATCATGTCATTGAGACACCACAAAGCACCTAACAGGATATATTGTAAAGTGGAATTACTGTGTGTCACTTCCCCAAGTATATCATTATTCCAGGCTGAGAGTAGTGAAAGGAGGAAATGTAATACTAATGTACACTAATGTATCTAGTAGTAAAATAATTTTGCAAAGATGGTATTGCTTTTTATGAGTTAAAGAAGAAAGTCTTATTATATGTTGTGGAGTCTTGTAGCTCAGTGGTTAGAGCACTCGCTTTGCAAGCGAGAGACCTGAGTTCAATTCCAGGCAGGGCGAAACCTTGGGCAAGTTTCCTTACTCCACACACCTAATAATAATCCCTCCAAAAACAATAATAAATTGGTCATTTTCAATCTACGACTGTTTGTGAGACATTGCTGTGCACAATTGGCTGCCGCGTTCGCCCACAAATATACAGTCAATTCACTTTACAGTGTGTTCTGTGAAGCGCTTTGGGACGTCCTCCCGACATGAAAAGCGCTATATCGAATGCAAGGATTATTATTGTTATTATTATATTAACTGAATTGCTACATGTGAATTAGGTCTAGTTAGCACTTCTTGTGTGATGTTTTCTGACTTACTGTATAGTGATCTACAATTTTCAAAAGAAAAATAATACATATTTTGAGTTATATTGGGACATCTTTAATTTGCATTATTCTTTAATATATTATTTATTAAGCATATGAATTTATCCTCCAGCTTACATAAAAGTAGTTAGTAATTTATTAATGAGGTTTGGCCACTTCTATAGCATTGCTTCCCCTTCTGTAATGCAAAAAAGCAGGAAAAAGTAAATATAAAACCAAAACAAGAACACCATCTTCTGGATACCTCACACCCTATTCTGAAAATCCACAGACCAGTTATTAATATTTCTGGTAAATTAATCTATTAACTGAAGGAAATGGGCGTCTATCTACCTGTGAAGTCCAGTCTTTCTTCTCAAAATGTAAGAAGTACTGAGATTACGCCTTTCTGTGCTCTGCTATTTTCCTTTTTGATGAACGTTTATTCAGTTACTGTATGATAGAAAGAGAAGGTGTAAAATGATGGTGGTGCATCGCTTTCTGCGGGTAATAATCCCTTGAAAAAAAATTGGGTCACTCAATCCACACAATCCACAACTGTTTGTGGGACACTGCTGTGCACAATTGGCTGCCGTGTTCGCCCACAAAATGCAGTCAATTCACTTTACAATATATTCTATGAAGTGCTTTGAGATGTCTCAATGATGTGATAATGCACCATATCAAATGGAAGGATTATTATTATAAGGTATGACAGTACATATTCAGCACTGAAGACAACTGATGAGTGAAAAATATGTAAACACCTTAATTTACACTGCTTCCTTTATAGATGTTACTCCAATTTTTTAAAAAATAACTTTCTATTGAATTTTATTCCGTATTCCAGGTGGGGAATCGGCCATGAACTCTGTTGCCATGCGAATAGTGATGGGTAGCTGGTGGCTTTTTACACTCATTGTGTGTTCGTCGTACACAGCAAACCTGGCTGCATTTCTCACTGTCTCCAGAATGGATAATTCAGTGCGGTGAGTGACCTTCTGTTATCATAAGGAAATTACTCTTGCTTGGTACATCTTGTGTCAAATATGCAATTGTAATTTCATTCTCCACATGTCTAAGCATTTCTTAATCTGTTTTGTAGTACATAATTGTCTCATAGTAATTTTGGGCAGCACGTTTAGGAGTGATTAGATGTGTTTTCACATTTGGGTCTTGGGTTCAAATCCATCTCAGACTAAAGTATTTTCTCTCTCTACTTGTTAGAGTTAAGATGATGTGATTGAGGAAGTTCTGCCTTTTTTTTGTAGAAGCACATCTATAGCACACACCTGTCCACATTTTATCATAAATTACTGTTAGATTGTTCAGAGGATCCATAAGGTGACTGTGTTGGGATGGGAATGTGACTTTGGTGGATGTTGGACTCAGGGCATGATATTGTAATTGAACAGAAAAGAGACCTTTACCTACCTCTATGTGGTACCTGGCCTGCATAGCTAATATGCTACCTACTTCATGTCAACATTATGGCAGAAAGTGGTTCAGTTAGAATTTTAATCTGGAGGTTTTAAATGGAGGTTGAAATATATAATTTGTTCTTTTTTTGGGGGGGTAGATGCTGGCAATACCGTCAAGGTCATGTTATTTGTCAACTACAAAGCCAAATGTCCTCTCTCTTCTACTCCCTCCCACCCCGGGAATAACAAGGCCTCGACTGACAGATTTAGGAGAAAATCTAGTTTTTATGAATCGTTGCCAATGACTGTCTGCAAAAAGAAAACTATGAATTAGTGCCTGTACAATTTTATGTTATGCAGAAATGTTGGAGGAAATTTATGAAAATGGGGGAAGTTCATCTGACCTGGCAAACGTTCTTTAATTCTAGAATTGTGAATGTTCAAGAGGAACTTATAAGGGTGTAATTTACTCATAGGACTCCAATGGCATTGGAAGACTGCTCTTCAGTACCTGAAAGTTCAGAAGTCTATTTAGTGAAACAACTAGTCTTCTGAGATTCACAACATTTTATTGCTTTTGAGAGAATAGCAAAGGTTGCCATGAGAAACATGCTTTAGTTTAATAAAATTTGGAATAACCTTGAGACATGGCCTGTCAGTCACTTAGAATCTCTCCTCCCAGTTACTAGACCTTGGCTGCGTGAACATGAGGGTTGTGAGATAGATATATGGTGTGTTAATTGGAAAGAGACAAAATTGTGTTCTAAGGAAAGACACAATCACAGATAAAAGACTCTGGTTGCTTGTTTTACTGTCGCCTTACCAACCTGAGTGTTAGAAACAATCATTGGTATTTGTTAAATACGTAGGTTAGTTGGAGTGGTCTGCTCTGGAGTATCTGCAAGGATTTCCATTGTATTAAACCATGCAGAACCAGTCACTGGGGGCAGAGAGTCATCCCACTCAGCTCCTGTTAAACCTTCAAGCCAAAACCCTAACAGGTAGGGTGGTCCTAGCTGGACAAGAAGTGGGAAAGCTTGCTGGACAGCAATCCATTCCAATGATCTATCTCTGGGATTGCCATGTGTAGGTGGGATGCATGAAAATCTCAGCTTGGTTTGGATACTCTTAAGCATGGTGCTGGGTTTCCGCATGTGTCAGACACCCGGCTGACCAAATTTAAAAAAAAAAACAGTTTAAACTTTATGGGAATTATTCTGCTCTGTTGGTCCAGTGTAAGAAATCATTTGATTTGCATTTATAATCCAATCTCTCTTTGATATCATGTAATCCCCTTGATTTGATCGCTACCATATAATTACTGCTGTGCATGCATTTTTTTTACTATTCTGCTGCTAATTTAGTTCTGTGACACAAGTGTAGACATTTTCAAAAGTGAATCTCGCCATCAAAGCCATCCTTAAAACCAACCAGTTAAAAAGAGTTAAAATTCATTATTTTATGATTTGATTATTTTGGTAACAAAATGAAGGATATCAGAGAAATAGAAAATTTACAATTTTATAATACCTTATTACTTAAGCATTTTGGATGCAATTACTGTCAAGTGTAGTGACTTTTTTTTATAAACAGACATGGCAGCCATCATCCCAATATCGAAAGACTGATTGATTGAATTGGGTTAGAGCTGGCATTTTCTGGTGAGAGAATACTGAAATCAGCAGCGCAGTACAATTGCAAGCCATTCATGTGGAAGTCTGGAAGCACTTTACAAAATATGATTGATTAGAAATGCAATAAATAGTGTTACATAGGCAAATAAAGCTGGTCTATGCCAGCAACAGCCCATAAACAATGTGCATTTTTTTTACTATTCTGCTTGAGGGAAAATAAGAAATTTGTGTTTTCTTGAAACATTTAACATAACATAACGTATAGGAACAGGAGTAGGCCATTCGGCCCTTCGAGCCTGCCCCACCATTCAATCATGGCTGATCTTCTAATCTAACTCCAGCTAATAACCTAACCCTATTTAATTATCAAATGTTATACAGACTGAAATATTGGCATAATTGAGAACTGAGGTTATTTCCACTTTTCTTCCAGCATCATACAATGATAGAAAAAAGCACACCAATGGAACTAGAACTTTTATGGGGGATTTTCTTGTTTTGTACATTAGTCAACATGACAACAGTGCAGCTGGAGACAGCTGTAACAGGACAGATATTCAACCCTATGGTTGCTGAAAGTACTCTGATTTGAAGAAATTGTACTGTGACTGGTATTCATGTTTGTTTGCTGGATCCTATTGCATTCCCTGCAACCCTAGTTCAGCAAGTGACATTAGCTTTCTATTTAAATTTGAATTCTCTATTTCTCAATTGTCGAGTCGGTACAGATAAGCCTGCCCTGGAGCAATACTAGACCTTAGACATGTCAGTTGGAGAAAACCTTAAACCTTAGATATAACAGTCCTGGTGTCAATCAGTGCAGCACTGGAGCTCAAAGGTCTTACACACCAGGTGTCAGCCAAAGCAGCACTAGAGAACTGTACAAACTGAACCATTTATCAGTGACAAGCAGACCTGAGCTTTCATGCTTTCTACCTTTTTTTCCAATGATTTGTTCATCTCAAGTTAGATCAGATTTGATTACTAGGCTAAGGAGGTTTTGGAGTTGAATTTGTATAAGTGAAGAGAATGAAAAAAACATTAGGAAGACAGAATTTTATATCACCTCATAACAGCAAAATAACTTAAAGCAGTTCCCAGATAATTGATGTCAAGTGCACTTTTTCTTTTTATTGGAAAACACATTGGAGCCATTTCCACTCATAAGGCTCACTTCATGTACTGATCTTGTTCGCTCCGGGATTCTACCCTGTGTGAAAGGTGCTATATAAATGCAAATTATTGTTGTTGATCAAATGATAAAAGTGATCGATGCTTCCTGCAAACTACTAACCCTATATTGTAGTCCACCCATCTCCCAATTTATATCTCAAAATCCATCTCATGTGGAGATTAATATTTAAGGCTTGATTCTTCTGAAAGGAAATCACCTGTGGGACTTTCTGATTTTCAATTCATTGCTTGTTGACATGTGGTCCTTATTTCTCCAACATTGTCTTTTACTGTTGCTTCTCCTATAGCATCTACCAAACAGTTCTGTGAACCTACATGTGGTAATAGAAATATCTAGTTTTACCTTGCAGCCTATAATACTTGCGCTTCACAAAGAATTGCCTCCTGGTTGTTTTGCTGTCAGGAACCAGATTCTCAATCATGTCCCAGGCTCTGTTTCTGTCCAATTTGCCGTAGACTCCTCACTGAATCAATTTTGTGCCTGGAATTTATAACTGCCTGAGGGATTATATTTCCTTTTAGAGTGAAACTTCATGTACTTCCCTCCTCAGCAGGTTGCAGAGAGAGAGAATTGATCTACTCGCAATATGAACAGCTTGAGAGCTGCCAGGCTCAAAGCAGTTCACCGAACAAAGTTAGAACTCTTGAAAACCACCAAACTAGGACACAGGGAAAAAAAAACTATTTTAGGATGTAATTGTTGCAAAGTTTTGTTTTGCTTGTTTCCTCTTCTCATCACCTCCTCTCCTCTATTGTCATGTCCACAAAAGTGGGCCAATCTGGGATAACTTCTCCAAAACCACTATCAGCATCACTGTCTCATGGACGGCTTGCTCAGCAAAACAGGATGGATCTGTGTTCAACAATTTTTACTTTCTATTCCCTAACACAGAATATTCCACTCCATTGAGCAGTTCAGCCATAGGCTGGGGTAGCTTGTGTCCTGTGGATGGGATGAGGAAAGGGCTGATGCATTACTCAAGAGTTTGAGACATTTATTACTTCAAAAGGCCTCACTGTATGCATCATAGAAAATATCTTGATATGTGATATCTTTTCTATGATATAATTTGTTCATATATATGCATCTAAATTACCTTAAAATTTAAACCAATACAGAGTTAGTTGCAATTGAATCTCCAGTCATTAATTGTGTATATTTTCTGTATTTGAGAAGATGCTTCCCATGATCAGATTGTATCTAGGATAGAGAGAGACACGGCACCAGATCACTAAGTTATCGGTTTGCAGTCTTGTATTTATATTGCAGGATGTCAATCTGTGCCCTGCCATAACCATCACCTTAGTCATCTGGCTTTAGTGCAATTCAAATGTATGACTCAACCAAATTCATGTTAATCACAACCCAGAACATTTGAATCAATTCTGCCTCTCCACCTTCCCACAAAGGGTGTTTTTTTTCGAATGCCACAAAAGAGGTTGGACAGTTTTTCAATCTGGGACCCCCACTTTAGCGAAGGTAAAACCTGATAAAGAAATTGCACTAAATTTCCATACATTTGTTTTTGCCTGTATTTTTGTCAATTTTAATAAGTCCCAACGCCTTTACCTTCACACGATGAGGGATGATGTGGGATTTGTTTCACTTTGACCACTGTTGCTTGAGGAAAATTGCAGCGCTTCACTGCAAAAGCATTGTGAAGTGGTCCAAAGTAAGGCAAACAAAATGGTGATGCAAAGATAGGGGGACATTTCCCAAACAGCTGGCAGGACTAAAATTCAGTTCCAATAATATCTTTGCTCAGGACTATTTTGCACCTGTTACTTCCTATAAATTCACAATTCACTTCCCTCACCAGGTACATCATGAGACCTTGAGTTTACAGCAAAAGGATCTTGTAACACTGAATCCTTCTGTTGATAATCTGTGCACGGATTTGGGCATTAGTTATAGATAGGCACCATAACTATAGGAAGACCAGAGTTGTAAATGTCCTTTCTCAGCAGACACCCACTGCCACTGTACAGTAACCCTGAGAATGCTCTGCTCTCATAGCTACACCATACCATTGCGGGGCTACCACAATAGTGTCCACAGAGGATACCTGCCATCTTCTCGGTTTTCTGCATTGAACAAGAGGTGAATGCATAGAGTTTCTTGTCAAGGAGCACTCTGGAGAAGGGAGGCTGCAGGCTGATGTTGTTTGGTTTTCTCTAATTCCTTTTACTTTTATAGATGTGGTCAATATAGTTGAAAAGTAAGTACTTTAAAGAGCAAAATGCAGGGAATTTAACTGCGGAACAGCTGTTTCTCTAGAGAGAGGCAGATCGTAATGAGAGAGAAAATTCAAACTGCACACTTAACGCCACAAGCAGCCCAAGATTAAATAGGACTGATCTGGCTCCTGTGGCCAATTAGAGTGACAGCGTGATTTCTCCAATGACAAATTGGTATTGATGACATCATGTTGGACATAAAGGTGCCTCTGTACTGGCTGCTTTTCCTATTTTTCAGCATGAAGCAAATCAACTGAATTGCTGCATTTTACGTTACCACGTAATAAAGTACGTAATTAGAGAAAAAACTCTAAAAAAATCAAATCCCTCTTGCATATATATTCTAATTCATAAGTGGGGGGAAGATAATAATATTTTAAACAATGAAAGGTTACCTCAAATCTATATGTTGCATCACACAAGATACAAAAATCAATATGCTGGCCCTTGTGACCCAAGAATTGCTCTATATATAACAGAACATTCCACAAGGGAACACTACACACATGCAGATCATTATATTACACAGAGGAGCAGGAAATACTTAGTGCATCACACAGAGGAGGTCTTGCTTGATAAGATATGCACATGGATTCATGACTGGCAAATGAATATAGATAATTGAAACACACTGCATTTAGGAACTAAAATAGGAGGCACGTGTACTGCGTGGATGGAGGAGAACTTGCCAAGGGCAGAGCTGAAAGAGATCTCGGGATAACTCATCGCTCATTATATTAAAACAGTATGAGGCAGCGATATATTTTGTTATACTGAACAATTCTACTGTACATACTGAACAGTGGAGTTGTGCAAGGATGAATTAGTTGCCACATTTTGTTGCCAATGCAGGAAAACAGCAAAGTTTTTGACACTGTTTCACATGAAATGTACAATGTAACAATGAGTTGTGGTTTCCTTTCAAACCAATTGTATAATTTGAGAAAACAACATTGCACTTCACATTAAGTTGGTGCTTTTAATCAGCATCAATGGTTCAATTGAAGTAAACGATTTATTTAGAAGAAAGTGCGGTTTAAATTGCACTAATGAAGCAATTATGAAAATGTTTCTCTGGATATTATACTTGTTGAACATAAGNTTTTTTCTGAAATCCTAAGCTAATATTCCTTGCTGTTTGATTTGGTTTTGGCCCCAATTTGTCTGGCCGTACAAACAGGTAAACAATACATATACTTTATTTAAATCCGTTTGTATTGTGGAGTCCTGTAGCTTAGTGGTTAGAGCACTCGCCTCACAGGCGAAAGACCTGGGTTTGATTCCCGGGCAGGGCGAAACGTTGGGCAAGTTTCTTTACTCCACATACCTCTGTTTACCTAGCAGTAAGTAGGAACCCGGTTGTTAGTCGATTGGTGGCTCGCTTTTCCCAGTAGTAATAATTCCTTCNAAAAAATAATAAAATGGTCTCCAAATCCACGACTGTTGATTGGAAACTTCTGTGCGCAATTGGCTGCCGCATTTCGCCCACAGAATATGCAGTAAATTTACTTGAAGTGCTTTTGGGATGCCTTGAAAACATGATAAGGCGCTATATCAAATGTAAGGATTATTATTGTTGTTGGTATACAAACAACGTCAAGAGCGACAATCATTCTCAAACACATCTATGATAGTTGACGACAGAAGTTGAAAGTATAAAACTTTGGTGAGAGGACAAAGGGTGAGAGTTATTGTGAAATATGTAATGATACACAGGTTTAATAAGGGCAGTATTAAACTCCGTGGTTCTAAAATTGGCTCAAATGGTTATTGGAATCCTTATCACTTTTAAGAGTGGAGTGACAACAAAGTATTTGGCGACACTATATTTGCTAATCAGTCAAGGTCAAAAAAGATCATCCACGTTTGACAATTCATTCGTATGAATTATGATTGAGTAACAGTTAGAAATTATTGTTAATCATCCTTTGAGTGCTATGTCCTCTTTCTTCGGAAAGGAAACAGGTTTGGAGAAGAGCTGCAAGAATGACATTGAGCTTGGAGGAAATGCTAAGTGAGCTAAACCTGTTCACATTGTTAAAAGACCAACAAACTCCAAGCTTTTAAATGCCTCTCTCCATTATAGTCATGTTTTTTCAAAGTGGAGTAGATAAGCAGAGTTCTTTCTTCTGAAAAGGGGACATGATTTTAAGTTGATTTAAATGTAATGCAAGGATGAACTGCTTCAGACTTGGTTAACTAAAGGAAATACCTTGTCACCCACCATGGAGAAAGTGGATTGGGGTGAATTGTTCAAAAGATAAATGAAGACAGACTGTATTCTCAAATCAGCATGAAGCAGAAGTCTGCCCATGGGCTTCAAACAAGGAAAACGAGAGATAAAGGTAGTCTGAGAAGATCTTACAGTTAGGCTGAAATGATTGGACAACCTAGAGTGCTATATGACCTTTTCTTGTTTCCACCTTATTAGATTTTTGTTCATTTAAACTACAAAAGGAGTAACATTTTTGAAGTAACACAATCCTGCCACTATAATGAATTGCAGGCATAGCATAATGCTCATTCTGCATTGCGGCACAGAGGTAGAATTATCAGAAAAACATATTTATTCTGAAACGCTGCACTGGATAGTTTTGCCCGCATCAAATTAATAATATACACTTTAGTAATTCTGGTGAATAACTCTGTATTTTTTAAATGAGCATTTCAAATTCTCTCAGCTTGTTTTTACAGTAATTCTCTCAGGAACTTGACAACATCATTATTAACACTCAAGTATATTTTATAGTTTCTTCAGAATCAGCTGTGAAATGAGTATAATTTGATTCCTTTTACTAGTATTGAACACCTTCATATCTATAGTCGTGTCCAGAGCCTCTCTGCAGCGCCTTCAGCATGCTGCTGCTTCTTCCATGGTTGCAATACTATTAATATTAAGTGTAACATTTAACATCTTACTCTTTGGTTTGAGTTTCTGAATGTGCTATACTGGCAACAATGTGAGCGTCAAAAGCATTCCCGCTGAGCCAAACCCTTTATAATAGCACAAGCTATAGCAATAATCTCCCAGATAGAAGTTGGAAAGAAATCAAGTTCGCAGCAAGGTGCTGACTTGTACAATTTATCCCTTTCATAATTACTTTGCAACTACACATGTAGGAAGTATGTACCAATGCCAAAATGAAAAAAAAATTACCAATTCAAATAGAGCAGATGAAACCCGGGAACAGCGCTTTCCGACAGTTGAATATTCATACACGTCAGCTGGAATAGAGATAATATGCTGGAGTATGATGCTGTGAGCCCAGGGATTTCATTTCTTCTGATGTTGCCCATCAGTCAGTTGTTTGCACTGCTCTTCATTCTCTTAACACTGGCAAATTCAAAAAAGAGAAGAAATATTTCTTTATTATAAGAAAATGAGAGTCAGCATGTGGCAATCTCTGAGCTAGAAACAATGGACTGTAATTAAGAGTAAGCAATTAACAATGCGGATTAATAAAAGTCGTTTTGTGTGTGGAAAAGATTGCTGTTCCAGTCATTCTGCTTTGATTTGTAAATTTATTAAACTCAGGGATGAGGCTATTGAGGCAGTTTGTTAAGCAAGTATGAAGCTGTGAGGTCAGGGGAAGGAAAGAAGGGGTTAATAATGAAACAAATCAAGCATAGAGCTGTGTGCAGCATTACAAGGAGGATCAACAGAAAACATCTGTGGGATACTGAAGCAAAGAGAATGTTGGTTCATCTCATGATTTCATTATATATTCTTATCTATCACCCACTTTCTATATAAGTACTGATCAGAACATTAAATAATTTATACACATATGACATTCCCTTGTCGTATCCATTGAAGTATATCTTAATCCCTCTTCTGGTCAAACTACATGATGGAGTGTAGAAATGTGCTATCTGTCATTGTCTGCAATAACACCCAATGAGAGCGAAAAAAAATAGACAGAAAGCAACTGCTTAAGTTAATGATGTTCAACCACTCAAACTTTGTCTCATCATTTGTCACATTATCCCAACTCTTTGATATACTTGTGCCTTGTATCAGTTACCAGCAGATATGTATTTTGTCCCTAGCAGATAGTGTTGGCACTCTTCCTTGAGACCTACATGACAAATCTCTGTTCATAACCACCATATACTTAAAGCAGCACACAGTAATTCAATATAACAATGATGCACACACTCATTCAAATATCTAAACAAATCGTTAAGTATGTGATAAGCCTCTTTTTCAATGGAAGGTCACTAGAATCCTTTGCCAATCAAGGTATGCTCACAATCACACACAATCATCCTTGAATAATATTTATCAACCATCTCTAAATTCCTTGTAGATCCTTCCAAGATCTGGCAAAACAATCTGAGTTATTGTATGGTACAGTAAAAGACTCATCCGTCTACGAGTACTTTCAAGCCAAGGGAACAAACCCGTTGGAACAGGACAGCACTTATGCTGAACTCTGGAGAACTATCAGCAAAAACAGCGGAATGGAAAACTGTGTATCCAGTGCTTCTGAAGGAATTAAAAAGGTATTCACTTACTTTAAAGAAAAGTCATCCAGGCTTTTAAAAACATTTACAGTGTCCTCAAGAAATCAACCTGGGGCCTTTTTTTTAATTTGCAAGCACAGGGGTAATGGCAAATTATCCTCTGGAAAATAAAGCAGATTAATATCACAACTTGAAACTTCAAATAACATGCATCTTGGTTTCTATGACTAATTGAAACAGGAATGCTAAAATGACAAGTAACCCTGATGATGGCTAATCACAAAAACGTGCCTGTGATACAACATCCAAGTTTGTGTGATTTTGTGATTTAAAGTGTTAAAACAAGTCAACAACAGATGAGTTTGCTTGAGGATACCTCCATTGGAAGATTGGAAGAACTTTGGGGTTTTGCTTTTCAGCAGTTTCAAAGATCACCATGTTAAGCCAATATTTGCTCCGTTGGTGATTAGCTTCACAGGGTTTTTCCAGATCCTACTGTCAAATTTGCTAGAAATGGTTTTGATGTACTTTTACAAACAACAGTGTATAGTGCATGGTACAATGACACCACCCCCAAAATAGTGGGAGCTCACTAGGAAGTGGATTTGTATCTTCCAGTCTACCTTCCACAAACTCCAGTTCATCTTGAACACCCCTTCCCTATATCCTCTCCTACACTAAGTTCCACTCGTCCATTATCATGATTTTTGCCAGGCTGTATGTTTCGCTGTACAACAACAACAACAAGATTTCATTTCCCAAGGCGCTAGACAGTTGGGTCAGGACCCGAGCAGGGGTGAAATGGTCAGGGTGAGGGGAGGGAAGAGAGGGAGCGGGGAGGGGGTAGAGAATCGAGAGGGAAGCTGAAGGCACGATTGTAGATCAACTTCAAGATCCTCATGCCAATCTTCAAGTCTCTCCATGCCCTTTCCCACCCTAAGTCTGCAAACTCGTCCAGCCGTGCTCTCTAATGAATAGAAGTGCAATTTATTCAGCCTTTTATTGTAGTTAAGTTATTTCATTGCACTATCCAATATATCTGGTATATTCTTCCTCAGGTTGGGTGGCCAGAGCTTCAGTTTGAATCCTGAAATTGGGGTATTAATCCTTCGAATTATTTTTTAAAATAAATGCCAGCAATTCAAAATAATCTAATTAAACACTGGAGCTTCAGTGTGAACTTTGTTCATGTTAAAAATAATTGCATTAGTCCCTTTGAACAACATTAATTTAGAAGACACTGCTTGATGAATTTGCAGCCTATTTACAGCCACCAATAGAAAGCAAGAAAGGTAATTTGACAGAATTAGAGAATCTAAATTTTGAAACAATCATTAAGAATTTAAAGTTATTAATTTTTCTGCAATCAAAGATTTTTTAAATCCCCATCTAGTAGATTGTCAGGTACAAATTGGTACAATGTGTTAAAAGCTAATGATACACTTTTTTCTCCACGCTGCCAGAAACTGATTAATTGTTATTAATAATTGTCTTCATATTCTTTCTCATCTATATAGGTAAAGAATGGAAATTATGCTTTCCTGTGGGATATGGCTGTAGTGGAATATGCTGCTTTGACAGATGATGATTGTTCAATGACGATTGTTGGGAATAGTGTAAGCAGTAAAGGATATGGCATTGCCCTGCAACATGGAAGTCCCTATAGGGATCTCTTCTCGCAGAGGTAAGCAATTACCTCTAATTTCTTTATTGATTTTAAAATTATATCCTAAAATAATTTATGTCTTATCAGTTCATATACATGTATATTTAGTGTTGAATGCACTTGGGTAAAGTTTTGTAGAATGTAATAATTTGGAGAGAATAACAGTAAAAGCTCAAGGTTCTTTGATTGTAAAATATGTTTACACCATGCATTCCCTGCCATCTCAGACACTCGCTACAGCAATGAGTGAGGTATGCTCAAACCAATAAAGGTTCAGAGATGTTTACAGGTCAATCTATCTGGATATAGCAAGGGGACAGGATCCCAACCAGTAGACTCTTTTAGGGAAGTACTGATGTGGTTGACACAGCTAGGTGACTCTCCAAATCATTTTGTTTTTCACTTTTTTCTAGCATTATTTTTAATGCACAGCAATGATTTGAGAGAGAGATAATTTAATGGAGGAAAAATAGGGTTTGTTCATGCCCAGTTTAAAAAGATGGAATCATGTCTGAGACTTGCGGCATGAACAATAGGTGAAGTTGAATAACATTGGTTTCTGCATCATTCGATATTACATAGACAATGGGAATACATATACTTCAAGATTAAAAAAAAGTTATGGAGAATATTTCAAAATGTATTATCAATCAGTTGGAACTTTGAAGAAACATTCAGAGCTGAAGATGCCATTTCCATAAAGCTTAAGCTTATTTAAGCAATATATTTATTTTTGAGACAATAGAAGCTGACTGTGCCAGATAAATCATCCAATTCTACAGTAGTATGACCATTTCATTTTAGCTTCACTGTCTGATTATGGAATTTATTGCCTTTAAAATATACACTTTGTAAAATACAGTCCCAGAAAGAAACAACTGGCAAAACGAAAAATACAGCCAAATAAATTAATATTTAGGTTTTAATATGACCTTTACCCATGTCTGTGAGATTCCATGTCACTGTCATACATAGATAAATTTAATTAACCGCAAGCTAATAGGGTAAGAAGAAGCCCCATTAATTTTCAGAGGACAATATTAATTAATATCATATCAAATATTAATATCAAACAAACCAGTAAACAGAGCATTGGAATACTTCCACACAGCAGTGATAAATTCACATCACGGTGTGGAATGGTAGTTCTGAAGAATGGAATATATTCATCCAATGGCAACTTCAAGGACTCTGAGATTACGTAGAATGCGGGCAAATACAGAGTAAATGCTTCTACATTCTATTGCAAAATGTGGGATTGGTTTCAGTGGAACATGCCAAACACCTAGTTTCATTTGATAAGCATCATTCCTGCTGTAAATTGTATCTATAATAATCACTTTCTTTCTGTTGAATTCAGGATCTTGGAGCTGCAAGAAAGTGGAGACCTGGATGTGTTCAAGCAGAAATGGTGGCCGAAGATGGGCAGATGTAATCTGCATAGCCACACTAATGCCCAGCCAGATGGACGGGCTTTGAAACTACAGAGTTTTGCAGGCGTTTTTTGCATCCTGGCAGCAGGCCTTCTCCTCGCCTGCCTTGTGGCAGCCTTAGAAATCTGGTGGAACAGCAATAGATGCCGTCAAGAAACACCAAAGGAGGTACAACTTCTTTCCAATGTTACTAGTGAGGATTGTGTGTGTCTTGCGTTTTGGAGGGGTGTGTGTGTAAGGAAGCGAGGAGGAAATGGTTATAAAACTACTGTTTTTAACCAAGCTTATAACAAAGAGTACAACAATATAATCTGTTTCTTTTACTATCTGATTAATAGTTGAACTGAACTTTTAACCATTGGGTTAAATCTTTTAATAATTTAGATTTATTTGTGTTCTTTAGAATACAAATCCAAACTGAGGGGTAGCAAAGAAAATACTTAGACATGGTTAGATGATCCCAACAATTTTAATGCCTGTAGATTGAGGGTGGAAGAAAAAGACTGATGAAGATGAGGAGTTGCTCGATTTTTAGATATTTGAAAAGAAAAGTTAAAATAAAGAGAGTGCAACAATGCAATACAAAATTATGTTTGTATAGAACTTTTCACATCAGGAGGACATTCCAAGGTGCTGGACAGTCAGGGATTTGGACCCAGGCAGGGTGTTGGGATCAGGCAAGCTAGGAGGCTGGCGAGACGTGCCTTGAAGTAGGTAAGGGAGCGAGCTGAATGGATGGAGTTTCAAAGGGTGGGGGGAGAGAGGCTGAAAGCCTGACTACCAATGGTGGGGATGTGGAGCAAGCTTGAGCGTGCTGAGTGGAGGAAGTGGACAGGTTAATATGGAGTTAGAGGTTCACAGATGTAAAACGATTTCAAACTCTATCCTCTGGGGTATGGGGAGCCAGTGAAGCCAGATAGGGTTACGGAGCCTGGTGCGGTAGAGGACATGAGCTGCAAAGTTCTGGATGATCTGCAGCTTGTGGAGGCCGACAAGCAGGGAGTTTGATTTAAGCAGTGAGATGCAGGGAAATAATAGAAGTGTATAAGACAAAATATTTTAATGTTGAAGGAAGTTACAAAGGAATAATAACATACTTGTATCAATAAGAGAGCAAGAAAAAAAAGGTATCAGAGGCCAGAATTGAAATAATGATCAACATTGGATGCCAAGCTTTTTCTTGTATTCTTTCTAGAATTACATAAGAGCTGTTGAAAAACTCCTCGTATTTTTTGTAAATCTTGCAATTTACATAGAGTTAACAATTTGTGGAAGGGAAAAGAAATGTTTGAAAAAGAGGAAATTGAATTGTTTGGAAGCTGCTTTAGTAAATGGAAAGGATGTGAGGTTTCACTTGAGGTCAGTGAAGATAAAACAAATTGAGCCATCGAAGCTAAAGTGGTAGTTGAAACTTGTGAGAGACAAAAAAAAGTCTCTGTGAAGATTTGAAAGATTCTTTTTTTTACACACAAAATGAATACTACACTAAGGACAATATCGTTGCCCAACATATCCCCAGTAACAACAAACTTACCTGAGCAAGATACAGCTTTCTACAGTAGACTATTCAAAAATAGCTAGGACGTTCTTGGAATTAAACATGCAGAATATCAAGTGATTTATCATTTGCTAAAAGCTATATAATACAAAGAAAGAGCTTGCTACCTTACACACGCATGATCATTAAAGAATTATCCTTACAAGTGAAGCACTTTTTTTTATTATAATGGTATTGTGGTGCAGTGGACTTTCAAGATACAAATGCAAAACACATTAAATGTTATGAGCAAACATCCAATATTCTTATCATAGTGAGAACTTTACAATGAATATGAGACAATAAAAATACTGTTATAACCAAGAGTACACAAATACTGAGATATTCATATTGCCTGGGTTATGACAGAGATAATGCACATTTTTTCTGCATTGTGCAAAAGGTACTGAAACCATTTTAGTACCAGTAAACCACCAGCCCATCTAACTTGTCAATTTCCAACAAGATTTTTACATTGTATTGGTCTCCAGTGATAAATTAATCCATCTTCTAATGATTGAAGGTTACGGTAGAGAATGCTATCCGAGTTCTAAACTGTAATGAGGAATAGACACATCACCAAGATATACTTGAAATATGTATGTCTGTAATTAGTGGGTTAAAATTGACTGCTGCTTCTTTGAACTTGTTTCACCATGCAGCAATGTTCTGAATACTCCATTACTGTGAAATTCCAACTGGGGAGGCCAGTTGGACATTATCCAATATTGGAATACACAATGCACAGTCACGCACTTTATAGTAAATCCTATGAAGCCCTTTGAGATATCCTTGACACAAAAGGCATATCAAATGCAAGGATTATTTGTTTGTCTTGGATAATTTTGAGGATGGCTTCAATTAGATGAAAATCTCATAGCGCCTATTTAAATTACTGCATTCAGCCGAACAGAATTTGTATTTTCAGTACACATGATTGCAGTTGATGTAGTTGTTCCCCTTAATTAATATTGTACATCTCAACATTCTCAGCTCTCTTTTCAGATTTTTCATGCGGGAGTTGCAATTAATAAGTGGAAAGCACAGAATGTATGTTTTCTTACTTATCCTAGTTTGCAACTTGTATTGAATAAGCTGGGAGGAAATCAGTCTCTTGAGTTTGCTGCAATAGCCATGTGGGCAAAAATTTCCCACCCTTGACCATGGATTTACATTCTTAGTTAGCTTGCTCTCTCCTTCAGTAAAGAGTAAGTTACTTACAAAAGCCCCATCTTCCTTCCAAGTGTGAGTGTTGCATCACTTAAGCAATGATTCATAGGTTGATACTGATGATAGGCTGGACAACTACAGGAAGAGATCAAGGGTTCAATTTGTTATTCTTCCTCCCTATGTTGTTGAGAGTAGGAAGGCAGTCCATTTTCACCTCTTTGAATCTCATCTTTAACTTACAATTCTAATTGTAAATTTATAAAACACTTTTTCTAACTTGTTTGACAACCCTGCTTAGGTTGTGCAGTGCTCCTCCACTGTGTAAGGTTGGCACAATATTGGGATGTTAGCACATTCTTATCCTATAATCTGTCTTAAAGAGTTAAAGATTAAGACGGATTTTTCAGACATCCAGCTTTCATTATTCAAATCAATGTTCTGACAGTGAAAATATACACATTGTCATTCATGTGCTTTTTGGAGAAATATTTTGCACTTTTAATATAGTTAATTTTATACATTTTCTTGACTGAGGACCTCAGAATCCCACCCCACAAACTATTTCTTAGAGTGAAAATGTTCAACTACATCATAGTTTGTATTGTAACCACACCCTCCCCTGCCCTTGCCTTGTGTACAAAGTCTGAAAACTAACAAGTCAACGTGATCTTTACCATTGTACTAGGTCAGACTGCACCAGGGCTCACATTATGATTAATAGTTTGGAATTTTGTGCGATCAGTTAAATATCAACGCAGCTGCTGTTTTCATATTCTCAGTTTGCGCTGTAAGACATTTTAACTTCACATTTTGGGAATCAAAATCCAGCTATCTGATTTGGACATATTCACCTCTGCCAAAAGGAGGAAATGGATTATTGTAATTGATCTGTGTTTGTCTACCTGTAAGTGCCATAACTTGAGAAATCTTTGGCAGATTTCAACGAACCTTCGAACCCATGTTCAAGGGGTTGATTCCTCGAACGAGATTGATGTCAGGCCTGAAACAATGATGCCGCCACGTTGCATGATGCCATTTTATTATGGTGGTACCTTAAAGGTATTTATTTCTGCTCTACCTTAAAAACAACTTAAGCTATTACAATCATATTTGGTGTGGAATGCTGCCTGGGTGGAGATCGGGGCAGTTTGACATATCAGAGAACCAGAACCAAAATTTGCCGATTCTAATTGAAAAGATGGACATCAAATCCCATTGCTAAATCTTGACTCCCACAGTGTGAGGTTAATTTGTTTTTATAGTAAACAGGGCTTCAGTTGATGGGGGTACGAGGGCAAAAGGGAATCTAATCCAAAGACATCAGCACAGAAAACCTCAATGTTACTCTTTGGTTTATGCACCAGGTATCGCATTTGATTGGTGCAGGATATGGAAAGTCAGAATCTTCCCCCTAAATTTTTAGGCAAGGTTTCTGCAGTCACAACTAACGGACTCCATACCTTTATTTCAGTTCCATAAAAAAGTTACTTAGAATTAGATTTTTTTTAAGAAATTGAGGTAATGAAAGGTTTCTTCATGGCACACTCAAATCAAGTTATCATCTGAAACTGGAGGACAATAACACCACTTATACTTTCTGTCCATTCCACAATGATCAACAACTATGAGAAGAACAAAGAAAGCTTTTTTTTTAAAAAAAATGCACACATTCACATATTTATGGGATTTCTCTCGTTTATTCTTTTCCTATTCAGGATAAAGAGGTCAACTTAGAGCAGGTTCATCGTCGGATGAACAGTCTAATGGATGAAGATATAGCCCATAAGCAGCTCTCGGCTGCATCAATTGAGATATCAGCACTGGAGATTGGCAGCATGCAAACCAGCCAGAGCCTGGAGCCTGTGCGAGACTACCAGAACACTCAAATCTCGGTCAGCACATTTTTACCTGAACAGACTCACAACACGAGCAGGAACATGCCCTCTTCAGGCAGCACCAACCTCTCTCTGCCTCTCAGCAGTTCTGCTACGCTGCCCTCTATACAGTGCAAACATAGGTCACCAAACGGAGGACTCTTCCGCCAAAGCCCCATCAAAACACCAATCCCCATGTCCTTTCAACCTGGATCTCTCCCGGAAGGTATCGAACCCTCCCACGGGACCTCCATATAACACCCAGCGCCGCATGGCAACATTTTTAATAAAAAAATTTACAAACAAAGTCTAGGATTTTCATGTAAATACTTGTAAATAATTCAAGAATGAAGTGGGGTAAAGTGTATTTTGATTATTCTCAATTTTTGAAGTCAGTAAATCATGTATGAATGGCTTTGTAAATTTTGTTCTATACAAATAAAAAGCAAATTACTTGTGATCGTTCTCAAGTGCCTCCAAGAAAGTATTACTTGAATTGGGAATGGTAGCTTTTACTTAATTATACTTCTTTTTAAATTTGTTTTTCTCATTTGAACTGATTTAGTTGATTTATCCTTAGGCCCGGCATTCATTTGTGCAAGGGCATTTGAATGCATCCAGGCACAGCTTATTTCAAAGCATAGGAAATGTAATGTAAAAGAATTCTCTGCGGTCAATCAATTGATGAAGAAGTTTCAGATACGTTGTCAATTCTTATCTCCACTTTTATAAATTTGGCACAAATTTTACAAGCATTGCCTCCCCTCGTAGAACAGCTTCGGAGTTTTTGTTATATTAAAGAGGCGATGAGGCAAATAATTTACACATTTACCAAAATCTATTCCTATTAGTCTGTGCTACAATCTGACTTATCTATTGTGGGTTTCCCCAGATAGATTTCTCTATATTCTGTGATGGTGGCCTGGAGCTTGTTATATTTGTCATTAGACAGAAAGCCTAGAACTTGGACTTGACCACCATTATAACTATGATCACCTAATAAAAGGCAAGGTTGCAATGTAAGACAGATGGACTTTGTTCAAATACAAGCCTAACCAGTCTAGCAGGATAAAAGTTTCAACTCAATCCTGTTTTCTCTTTAAAAGTTCAATTTCCAGACCTCATCTTTCCTAAAATAAAAAAATGGTACATTTGAGATTTAAGTCATTCTAGCTCATAAATGTAGTGACTGAAGATACATGCCTAGAATGGGATATTGCTATTAACAGAGTACACAACTTTAAAGTCACTCCACTTTATAGCAGAGAAGCTGATAAAAGCTGTACAGGATCTAGAGAAACAAACTTCCTCACACACAAATACACTATAAGAAGTCAGTGGCCTGAAGGTCAGTGGCCAGAAGGAAGTCAATTAATATATTACCCAGTTATACTTCATGTGTAGATTTAAAAATGGTGGGAAAGATTCTTAGCATAAAATAAATAGAATAAATTTTATCACTCTAATTTGAATCATCATTACATCAGCCAATGTGTTCATCCTTGTAAATGTGGTTAAGGCTGTTTGAGACGAAGACTCAATCTGCCCAGTAATAACTTCTACACAAACATAGCCGAAGAGCAGCAGATAACATTACTGTCTGTACCAGCTTCAATCATCCCATTACTTATAATATTCCTTGCATTTGATATAGCACCTCATTGTGTCTTTGAGGCATCTCAGTAATTGGAAATAATACTTCCTCCTCATAATACTTTTCCTTGATAACAAAATATCTTTTGCTTGTGGAAAAATCTTATCCAGAAAGGTAATTTTGCAAGTGCCCTCTAAGTTTACCATACTCTTTTAGCCTACCCTAGCTTAAATGTCTTTCCTTTATTGAAAACAGTCAAATGGTTTAGGCTGTAAAATGACCTGGCGACAGAAGCATTTTTCTGGTGAAGTTGTATTCTGTGCTGGAAGCTAATGGAACTCATTGGAAATTACCAATTGTCCATGGATAGCACAGATACTTAAAACGTACGAGTACACAAAAGCTTATTGTGGCATTTCCTTTTGGGATTTCATGCTGATCAATAGAAATATATCCAGAACAAAGAGTTGTCTTTTTGTTTGGCTGCTTGCAGAAATCAGAATCCATTGAAGTAATAGGTTTCAAAAATAATGGTAATGTCAAATATTTTACACTTATCACCTAAGGACAAAGTGAGCAGAATTTACTTTGAATATGTTTATTTTACAACCTAGCCCAAGATACGTAAACTAAGAGAGAGGTCAAAACAGCTTCCTGTTGTCACAGTCAATCAATCTTCCAACTTGTCTAGTTTGTAAAGTAACACTTAACCTACACCTACCATCTATGCGACATTGATAATACGTAGCATTAAATGTTACATATGTAATGTTTAGGTGCAACTGGTTAGCCAAACAATTTATTAAGAGGGAGTTCCGGTTAACTTCATAGACTACAAGAAAAATACCATCTGTACTACAAGAGGATATGTCTTCCTATCATTGCCTGACAACTATTTTTTTAAGAACAGATCACTGCTTGTAATTTATAGCAAATTATTTTTCAGCAACCACTACTGCAATTTTCCTCCCTCAATATGTAATGTGCAATTAGATTTCCCATTTTTACATCAATCTATATAGTCTCATTTCCCACACACTGAATTAATTGTTTTGTTCACGTACTGAGTGATTGTTTGTTTGAGTAATAGCTTGTTCCTGTGATGTTTACAAAGGCATTAATAGTTTGAACAGCTGAGGTCCCAGCACTAGCTCCTGGGTAGTGTATGGATCACAATTACTCAATTAGAATCTTTCATACTTTATTCATAATGTAGCCAGTTAGTAATTAAATTTATAATTTAATCTTGGATCCTATGACCCTTGATTTAAACTAGAAGTCAGACTGTGAACCAGAGCAAATACTTTCTGAAAATGAAGATGCTTAATATCCACTCCCTTTCTCTTCAGCCAGAAACTATGCAACATCAGTTATATAAGGCAAATAGGATGGTGAAATACATAGCAAAATCAATTGAGTTCAAGTTTCCAGAAGTCATACTCAACTTATATAAATACTCTTATTGGATGTATAGATATTATGTACATGCTGCAGGCAGGGGGCTTCATCCTTGCAGAGGGAATATTAGAGGTGGCCTTATAGACATATATAACATTTTAAATTGGATTAGGAAAGTAAACCCTGAATAATACTTTCAGATGCGCTGAGACAGCGCATCTGAGAACAAAAGGGCACACGTTTTGGGATACAAAGAGCAATTTCAGGATTGACACCAGGATGCAATTCTTTACCCAGAGGGTAAACAACGTGTTATCAAGAAGGATGGTTGAGATCTCCAGACTCATTTAAAACATTGGTACTATAAAACGAGCAAAGTAGGGTAGGGTATTCAACGTTGAGATGAAATGGGCGAAAGGAAGGCCTTCTTCATCCTAACCTCTCCTATGATGCCTTACCTTTAAGAAGTTTTTGCTGACATTAGTAGATTGCTTTTACAATGTTGAACTCTAGTCTTTGAAACAGTATTCCTCCCACTGAAAGAGGTCTGTAATCCCAGGATAATGCACCTGATCTTTGTTAAAAATTAGAATCACCTCTTTTGTCTACCAGTCCTCCAGTACAGTTCCACATTGAAAGAGATTGAAAACGTATTCTTATTGGTGCACCCGGTACTTCTACCCTAATTTCTTTCAGTATTCATGGCTGCATTTGATTAGGCCTATTGCTACATGAACGTTTAAGTGCTCCAGTTCGACACAGTGTTTGAATGACTATTTAATTGCCAACCACTATTTTATTTATAAACCCAGATGCATCTTTCCACTCCAATGACCTGCTATTAAATTATCTTTTTTTCTACAAGCTTTTTTTCTATTTTCCATACTTGATAGATGATTTGAAAGCCCTTCTTAATATCTCAACTTTAAGACTCCCTCTTTTGAAAGTAACACGAGAGGACCTGTTGTTAAAAGGAGCAGCCACATTACTCCCATCTATTTTTTCCACTTCCCTTTTCAGAGCAATTTCACAATAGTATGGCTAATGCACTCACACATTTTTAGGACAACACATGCAGTGTTCTTTCAGCACTTTTCTCTAATACAGTGCTAAAAGAACGCTGCATTTTGGGAGGTGTTGTCCTTCAAGTGAGACAATAAACCATGGTCCCGTTTGCCTGTTCAAGTGGACAGTAAACTTCCTTATTCAAAATAAGAAGGTGGGTTCTTCTGGTTTCCTGGCCAACAATCCCCTAGATATAAATAAAATGGGTCATTCACTTAATGCCATTTGTGGGACATTGCTTTGTGCAAATTGGCTGCTGCGTTCACCTAGAAATACAAAGTCGTTATGCTTTACAGTACCTCTTTATAATAATTTGAGACGTTTTGAAATAAGGTGCTATATTAAATGCGATGATTCTTCAGCGACTTCAAGCCCATTTTACCAAGAGGATGGCACCCTTTAAACTCAGTAATTCAGGGTTTCTGTTGATATGAAACCATTTATTTCATTACATTTGTGATTCTGTAAGGAAGGTGTAAGTATTTGATATGAATGAATACAAGCGATTTTTAAATTTCATGCTCAAAGGAGCCCACATAGCAGGTTCATATCAAGGCCACACACTTCTGTTCATTTCCTGTAAACATCTACCACCTCATTGGGGTTTTAGGGCAGATGCAGTTTTTGATACTTTCCACAAATGACCTGAATTAAAAGCTTTCTGTTCCCTTCTCACCACATTGGGGGAACGTTTTATTGGTCATTTGTCAATAGTCATGTTATTAAAACCACAATAAAAGTAGCAGTAGATGCACTTATCAACATGATGACCTCAAATTCCAGTCACTACACACATACAGTAGAATAAATCTACAGTAAATCTTGGGAGGCACTTTGAGACATTTCAACTACGTGATAGGTGCTGTATCAAATACTAGAATTATCATCTTCTTTCATCTTACAAATGCACCAAGGTATCCTGTAAGCTACTTTGTCTTTAATTCTGCAATATGGTTTTACCATGTTTTCACAATGTTCACCATCATTATCCCTCATACTACACATCTGCTCTTCCTTTTGCTTAGTCTGCTTGAAAGCGCAAGCTCGACAATGACAAGAAATAAAGTTCAAAAACATGAACTAAGATCAAGAGTTTTCTCTTTTAGCTGCTGTGGAACCCCGCAATACAAATAGAGAGATCCCATAGCACCCAAGCCTCAGGCTAGATTATTTAATATAAATGCGGCATTGGAAAAGTCTGCACCTGCCTTAGGTAATATTGCACACAATAGTGATCAGTCTATGAAAACAGCCATTTCTCTCGGAGAGAAATTGTCAACCATGCCAGAAACTTTATTATACTGCTCCAAAAATGTTTTCTACATTCTTAATTCTCAGCTTTAAAGTTAAGGTATTTACAAACACAACTCACTCAAAGCATTTCTCAACATCAAT